TCCCGCCATATCTGCCCCTCCCACTGACCGTACTGATCACACCACCCTCTCTTAGCCCCCCAACCTCCCCCCTCACCATTCTAATGCCGCGTCCCTCAGACATGGCCGGCCTTGGCCTCAGGGAGACATCCCCCCTGCCTCCCCTAACCACCCCCATACCCCCTAAAAATTTATTAAAACACCCCTCTAAAAAAGCCCTAATGAGGAAGAGAAGTTATGGCTGGATCCTCGCCAGTGTAGGAGCGACAAGCGTGTGCAGCAGAAAAAGAGATGTGCCAGAGATTAAGCTGAGTCACTGGACCACACCCCACAGGCTATAAAAGGGTGTTGGTGGCCATTTGGACCTCTGTGACAGACAAAAGCTGAATCTCTGGCAAAGTAGTTTGCTGTGGCTTTAAACTGTGTGTATTGTCTTTTGTTTCTGTGTGTTTGGAGTAAAAGATCTTGGCAGGCAGCTACGGAGCAGCTGCCAAGTTTCTTATCGGTGAAGTGGTGTCTGGAGAAGTCTTTAACCCTCGGCTGGCTGTTTGGGTGTGTGGGTCGGAACGGGGACATAACAGGTGGATCTGAAGGATGCATTCTTTACTATTCCGATTCATAAGGTGAGCCAACCTTTGTTCGCCTTTGAATGGAAAAACCCAAGGACAGGACAAAAGATGCAATACACCTGGACGAGACTGCCCCAAGGATTCAAAAATTCACCTACTTTATTTGGTACTGCTCTAGGAAAGGATTTACAGTATTTTGTGCCTCAACAGAAAGGGGATACTATTTTGCAATATGTGGATGATGTGTTAGTAACAGGCCAGACACAGGACACATGTTGGGAGAATACAGCAGCTTTATTAGGCTTGCTGTTGAGGTGTGGCTATAGGGTCTCTAGGAAGAAAGCACAATTGGTAAAGCAGAAAGTAAGATATCTAGGGTATGATATTGAGCGATGACACAGAGTCCTAGGATGGGAAAGGAAGCAAGCTGTATTAGCCATTGCCGAGCCCACAAATAGGAGACAATTACGGGGTTTTTTGGGTTTGGCTGGCTTTTGCCGAATATGGATACCAAATTATGCATTGTTGGCAGCCCCTCTTTATTCTGCTACAAAGGGGGGTGAATATGAGTTGTTTTGTTGGGAAGGGGAACAGAAAAAGGCTTTCAAGGACATTAAACTGGCCCTCACATCTGCTCCAGCATTAGCCCTATCGAATTTGGAGAAGGCCTTTAATTTATATGTAGATACGAAGAGAAATATTGCTTTAGGAGTCCTGACTCAACAATTAGGCCAATGACAACAGCCGGTGGCTTACTTGTCTAAACAATTGGATGTTGTGGCACAAGGGTGGCCGCACTGCTTGAAGGTCCTTGCTGCTATAGCAGTCCTGTTGCAGGACTGTAATAAATTGACCTTCTCATGTCCTGTGATTGTGCACGCTCCACATGCAGTTCAGTCTATCTTAGATAATAAAGGGCATTTATGGATAAGCAATCAGAGGCTTTTCAAATATCAGGCAATGATGATTGAGAACCCACAAGTCAAATTAGTGGTTTCTAACCGGTTAAACCCAGCTACCCTGTTACCAGTGGATACAAATTTGGAACATGATTGCTTGCAAGTATTGGAGAACGTCTATTCCAGCCGACCGGACTTGTCTGACATCCCTCTTCAGGAAGCGGAGCTCAATTGGTACACAGATGGCTCTAGCTATATGTATGAAGGAAAAAGAGTTGCAGGATATGCCATCATAGATGATGACAAAGTAGTGGAAAGTGGTCCCCTAGGACCAGGACACAGTGTGCAAGTGGCGGAATTGTGGGTGCTTATTAGAGCATTAGAAAGAGCCAAAGGTGAGAGTTTGAATGTTTGGACAGATAGTAAATATGCTTTCTTGACATTGCATGCACATGGTCCAGTATACAAGGAGAGAGGGTTTAGGGATTCAGCAGGCAAGTATGTGCAACATGGACACCTAATTAAATGCCTCATTGATGCAGTTCAGAAGCCAGCTAAAGTTTCGGTCATGCATTGTAAAGGGCATCAAAGGGGTGTTGACAAGGTGGCACAAGGAAACAGGAAGGTGGATTTGGAAGCCAGAGGTGCAGCAAAAAGGGTGGGCCCTAAACCGGACCTTACAATATACATAGCATTGGATATGGGGGTCCTGCCCACTGTTATTAAGCCAACGTATTCCCAACAAGAATGTGTGAAGGCAGTTAACGACCTCAAGGCAACTGTGAAGGATGGATGGTACTTGCAGCCTGACAAACGCATCTTTGTTCTGCAGTCCTTAGCATGGGCTTTGATTCAATCATCTCATGATGCCACTCACATGGGCAAGACAGGGTTGGAAGAGGTATTGGGAAGGGATTATTTCATTAATGGACTTGCCGGTATGGCAGCCCGAGTTGTGTCCCAATGTGCAATTTGTGCCAAGGCCAATCTTCGACAAGGGCCCCTTTTGCCACCGGGGACCATACCTCTGTCGTATTTTCCTATGGATTCAGTTATGGTTGATTTTACAGACATGCCTAGGTGTAGGTTATATAAGGCTTTATTAGTCTTTGTGGATAGATATACTGGCTGGCCAGAGGCCTTTCCCACCAACACTAAACAAGCTAGAGAGGTGGCCAGATTATTGTTAAAGGAGCTGATACCTCGGTTTGGAAGTCCCTCCCTTATTTCATCTGATAATGGTCCGGAATTTGTCCATCAGATTAATCAAGCTATGGCTCGGTCAGTAGGGTCTAAATGGAGGTTTCATAGTGCATTTCATCCTCAGTCAGGTGCTAAAGTTGAACGGATGAACTGCACTTTGAAGGAGAAAATTACTAAAATATGTGCCGAAAGTCATCTGAAATGGCCTGATGCTTTGCCCTTGGCTCTGTACGCTGTGAGATGTGCACCACGTAGACAACATGCCTATCTAATAATACCTTGAATTGAATCCCATATATAGAATTTCTCCAAAAACTATGCAGATTTGTCAGAATATCATAAAACAGTGAAATATGATTGTATAAAGTACAACTATTGAATTCCCTCCTGGTTTCATTTCTGAATAGGTATTACCACTTTCTGTATGCAATGAAAATTGTTATCCAGGCTACCTCAAGAAAAAAATAGATGAGAAGCCCTTTTGCTGCTATGATTGTCTTCCTTGTGCAAAGGGGAAAATTTCAAATAGATTAGGTAAGATGTGCTTAATGAGAAGACTTATTAATTGTCACCAGCAATATTGTATACCTATCTGTGTTTACTCTGCATGGTATTGTTCTCAATTGTAATCAATTATTCAGAATTTGGAGGATTGGCCTCCTTGAAGCAAGGTAACCTCGGTATTAGCTGAAATGCATTTGAATATTAGTAGCTCAGGTTGATAGTTGAGCTGATAGTTCGATCTCCAAACTTGGCAATTTGACTGCAAACGATTCATCTCTATTTGGTGAGACATCTTCAGTGCACTTTGAATTGTGCTCGTGTGTCAGAACACTGACCTTTAAATTGGTGTGTACATTACTTGTCCAGATCTTTCTGAGTCATGGTCAGGATTCGGGCTGTTTGACTGACTGGTTTGTTGTTGAGAATTGAATATGATGTATAAAGAAGCAAGAAAATGAGCTTGTCCTTGCTGGAGAGAAGCAGGCACATAAATAGATATGAAACATAAATATTGGTCCTTCTGCTGGTCTGACAATGAATTACAATCTTCATGGATCTTTAACCCTTTTAAATAACTGGAATTCTTGCTAAAACATTTGTCACCTGAGAATGAAGAACAGACCCCATTAGATAAAATTTTGTTAAAAACAGATGAGAATTTGATTAGAAAACTCTATAAATTTATTTTAAACTGGAAGATGGAAGAAGAACAAGTGAAAAAAACAATGATAGTATGGGCAAAGAACTTGGGACATTCTATAGACTTGGAAGACTGGCAAAAACTTTGGGATAAAAATATTAAGCTTACAAAAGCGGTAGCATATAAAGAAAACTTATATACGATGGTTTATAGATGGCATATGACACCGGTTCGCTTAGCGAAAATGTTTAAAAATGTTTCGGATATTTGCTGGAAATGTAAACAACAGCCAGGCACTTATTACCATGCCTGGTGGATATGCCCTATCGCTAAGAAATATTGGTCTAAGATCCATAGATGGTTGGAAAGGATGATGAAACTATAGATATAATTTAAACCGGAATTGTTTTTGTTAAGAATATTAAGACCTAATTATGGTAAAGAGAATGACTATTTGATATTGCATGTTTTAACAGCTGCAAGGATAGTATTTGCCCAATTTTGGAAAAATGAGAATTTACCATCTGACCAGATTATAATTACTAAAATTTTAGAGTGTGCAGAAATGGATAGACTAACATTAGAAATGAAAGAAAAAGATGATTCAATTTATTT